ATAATAATTAATATGTTTTTTATAAACGAGTGGGATTCGTGCATGGTAAAAATTGACGATTTATTTGTCCAATGCAGCGCCGCGCATCAACAATAAATGAATCCAGAAAATTGCGGAAAATAACTTTGCGAAGGAGTAATTTCACTGTAATTAATTAACACATGGCTAGCGTCGCGCGCAGCATAACAGACGCTTCCTATACACTTAATTATAGGGGACTGGTCTATATTGCGAAGGAGCAGACTTTTTTCATCACCGCAGGTCCATCGGGCCACCTCATATATCCAAACCCGATTACTTATTCCCTACGATCTTTTTGCCTTCGGCAAGAGTAGGGAAAAAAATGTCCTTGCTTCTGGCCCGCTGCCACCCGTTACAGAGTACACCAGTGGACAAAAACTCCCATGTCCGACATTTATAATTCTCTCGTTATATAACCTCCGCTTCTGAGTCTCAGCTCTCTCGTATATTTTTCCCGTTGATTATGAGAGATAAGACTCAGAATTGGGATTGAGAAATTTTATGTTATAATGAGATAAAAAATAATTGCTCCTTAATCAACTATAGCAGTAAAACTAGCATTGTAGGTACAATACTAGCAACACTATAGCAGTAGAACTAGTTGTCATAGCAACACTATAGCAGTAGAACTAGTTGCTATAGCAACACTATAGCAGTAGAACTAGCATTGTAGCTACAATACTAGCAACACTATAGCAGTAGAACTAGTTGCTATTGCAACACTATAGCAGTAGCACTAGTTGCTATAGCAACACTATAGCAGTAGAACTAGCATTATAGCTAGCTACTCCTCCTGACGTGTATGTAGCTAAGTGTCAGTTTGTTAGTTTGTGTGTTGATGCGTGTGTAGTGTGTGTTGATGCGTGTGTACTGTGTGTACTGTGTGTGTTTTTACTTCTAGTTGATACCTTAATACAGCTCTTACGTTATCACTTATACACTACAGTCAACAGTACACTACTACTACTAGTAGTCAACACTACAGTCAACTGTTAATACAGAACCAATCAGAGAACCAATCAGAGAGCTGTATTCTAGTCACGTGATAAAAACTAACCAATCAGAGAGCTGTATTCTAGTCAGAAATGAGATTTCTATAGCACTACAGCTGGGTAGTAAAGCTGTCACATAGGACTATAGTGTGACGTACAACGTACAGTGTACTATTATACTACAATTATATATTTAGAACTTATTATTTTATTTAGTTTAATTTCTACAACGAGTTGTGTGTAGAGTGTACGCTTACTCGGTTACACAGTTACCATGGTTACACAGTTACCATGGTTACACAGTTACACTGGCATGTCACCTACATGGTACAATGTGACGTGAAGATGTACTGTAAAGTATGTTTTCTTTACTGATTACTGTTCGATAATATACCCTTAGTAATACTAAAGTACACTGTAATACTAATACCTCTAGTGATACTAATACTGTAATAGTACACTGTATTAGTTAAGATTGGTGGTGATCATGAAGACTTGAAAACGACGTATCTGGTTCAGGCTTGTGACTCGACAAGTTTCGGCTTTTTACATGGAATCTTATACACTAATAAAATAGATGTGTAGTGTCGTCATTATTTTAAATCTTATACACCAATAAAATAGATATGTAGTGTCGTAATTATTTTAAATCTTATACACCAAGAAAATAGATGTGTAGTGTCGTAATTATTTTAAATCTTATACACCAATAAAATAGATGTGTAGTGTCGTAATTGTTTTAAATCTTATACACCAATAAAATAGATGTGTAGTGTCGTAATTATTTTAAATCTTATACACCAATAAAATAGATGTGTAGTGTCGTAATTGTTTTAAATCTTATACACCAATAAAATAGATATGTAGTGTCGTAATTATTTTAAATCTTATACACCAATAAAATAGATATGTAGTGTCGTAATTATTTTAAATCCTCTACACCAATAAAATAGATATGTAGTGTCGTAATTATTTTAAATCTTATACACTTATAAAATAGATATGTAGTGTCGTAATTATTTTAAATCTTATACACCAATAAAATAGATATGTAGTGTCGTAATTATTTTAAATCTTATACACTAATACACTGTAACAGCACTATCAGTGCTGACCTAATATTGTTCCTTAATTAATTAATTCAGCTACAAAATGGTTCTGTATCTTAATCATCGTACTCAATTAGATATTAATCCGGTAGGTGTCTCAGTACAATAACTAAACATTAGTGAAAGTGAAAGTGAAAGTGAAGTATTGCTGCCATGTACTCAGTGTAGCTTACAATAGTCTATACGTGTAACGTGTCATTGTTAGAAGTGCAATGTGTCACTGTACGGACGAGTTAGTTTACCATTACAAGAGGGCACACTAGTACTAGTACCACACTAAGAGGGCATGTTAGCAAGCCTTAGTGACTAGGGACCAGTGTACAATGTGTAGATTTATAGAGGTACAGTGTTAAGCTCATCTAGATTCTAGAGGCTGCGGTAATGAGGCCAGGGTGTTCAGGGGGAGGGGTAATGAGGGTTTCCAGAGAGGGGGTTGGAGGACCGGCAGTTCGGTTGTTGATTCTCATGAGGAAAGGTTAGGTGTTTATATTTATTATCAAGCTCACAAACGGTTGATAGTAAGAACCTGTTAATTATACTTTTTACACTTAGCTCTGTAACTTGTTCAAGGTTCTCCGCATCACTACACTAATCACTACACTAATTACTCTCACACTCTGTGAGGTTCAGTCTCCAGTACCTCAGGGGCACGCCCCTGTAGTATCTCAGGGGCACGCCCCTGTAGTATCTCTTATTTAGTGAGTTTACTACTTATTTAGTGGGATCAGGAAATTAAGACAGTCCTAGTCAGGTTAAAGTTGTACAGTCCTAGTTATGGAGATAACCACACCTGGTCTCGAATACAAACTAACCAATCAGAGAGCTGTATTCTAGTCACGTGATACACACTAACCAATCAGAGAGCTGTATTCTAGTCACGCGAGTAAGTGTATTAAAGTGAACCAGCGGTGTGAAGTGACTATAACACACAACGCGTACAGGGGGACTTTATAACACTCTCACAGAGTGGTTCCTGAAATTAAAAGAATGAGCTTGCTCACACTATTAAGAAGTGTTATATTCAATATTCAATATCCATTTGTTAGATGTCACCAGATCAATGTGTGACCTCACTGTTCTATCTTCACTGTTATATAATATTATGTAATACACTATGATATTATATCCCCTCCCTTTACTGTACACAGGTTACACAATAAACTATACACTGTACGGTAAACTATACACTGTACGGTAAACTATACACTGTACAGTAAACTATACACTGTACGGTAAACTATACACTGTACGGTAAACTAAACACTGTACGGTAAACTATACACTGTACCGTAAACTATACACTGTACGGTAAACTATACACTGTACGGTAAACTATACACTGTACGGTAAACTATACACTGTACAGTAAACTATACACTGTACGGTAAACTATACACTGTACAGTAAACTATACACTGTACAGTAAACTATACACTGTACAGTAAACTATACACTGTACAGTAAACTATACACTGTACAGTAAACTGTACACTGTACAGTAAACTATACACGGTACAGTAAACTATACACGGTACAGTTTACTGTACACTGTACAGTTTACTGTACACTGTACAGTAAACTGTACACTGTACAGTAAACTATACACTGTACAATAAACTGTACACTGTACAGTAAGCTGTACACTGTACAGTAAACTGTACACTGTACAGTAAACTGTACACTGTACAGTAAACTGTACACTGTACAGTAAACTGTACACTGTACAGTAAACTGTACACTGTACAGTAAACTATACACTGTACAGTAAACTATACACTGTACAGTAAACTATACACTGTACAGTAAACTATACACTGTACAGTAAACTATACACTGTACAGTAAACTATACACTGTACAGTAAACTATACACTGTACAGTAAACTATACACTGTACAGTAAACTATACACTGTACAATAAACTATACAATATACAGTAAACTATACACTGTACAGTAAGCTATACACTGTGCAAGTGTATACTGTAAAACATACAGCTGATGATAATGTTGTGTCCAATCTCTGTGAAATTTAATATCAATATCGGCTTTGTAACTCTGTATAAATCACGAGATTATCTCTACCTGTCGATTATCAATAAGAGAGCATAAGACAGCTGTTTTCTAGTCACGCAATACAAATTAACCAATCAGAGAGCTGTAGTCTATTCACGCAATTCAAATTAACCAATCAGAGAGCTGTATTCTATTCACGCAATACAAATTAACCAATCAGAGAGCTGTACTCCTGTCACGCAATACAAATTAACCAATCAGAGATCTGTATTCTAGTCACGCAATACAAATTAACCAACCAGAATTGGAGGTTCAAACCTAAATTCAGAATTTTACCGCCTAACTCAAAAATCCGGCTCGATAAGTAAGGTCCTGAGGCAATTTTACCCATATCTTGAAAATTTTATGGAAAAATATTGAAAAATAAAAAAGCCTGTGGTGAAGTCACTTTCGTGAAAATTGCCAACTTTTTGATGGTCTTATTGCCTTTGTTTACACATTTCTATAGAGCTATAGATATTAAGCTATAATAGATCTCAGAGAATGTATAGTTGAGGCTGACCTTTTATATAAAGTTGGTTTCTTTCAAAAATATTGATATTTGATCAATTTATGGGCGAAAAATCTATCAAATTTGGTGTCTAATCCCAAATATGGGCATATTGGTTTTTGGTTCATAACTCAGCCAATTTTTGTCCAATCTGGGTTTTGGGCATGTTAAGTTGATTTGGCATAATTGGGATAAAAAGGGAAAAAATATGGGCGTGGCTGGGGTCCGGGACGTGGACCCCCTCAAAAGTTCGGTCTCGGAAACAAGTTTCACAAAACCTTCAGGCTGCCTCCTAATTAACCTCTCTTTCTTAGAGGACGCCCCGACACAGTCACTCTACTGAGTTTGATCCGTTTGATGGCTACTCTGACAGACACGATTTCGCTGACTACCCCACACCGCGCGAATCTAGAGATAACGGTCACCGTGGTGATAGAGACAATGGTTACCGTGGAGACAGAGATAACGGTTCAAGGAGCGGTGGGTTTCCCAGAGAAAGGTAAACTATTTAGCATATAGATATAGCGAACTAAATATTACCTCTAGCTTGTTGATGCAGAACTTTAACATTAAGGTTTCTGAGTATCAGTCCTGGATAATCGTGTTAATAGGAAATACTGCAGACAGCAAATATTAATTAATTAGAATTTGTACGTCTCTATTTCTTTACCAACTCTTTATTTAAAGGTCTGTGATATTTGTAAATGACTCCACTTTTTATTTTTGTATGTGTGAGTTTGTGTGTGTGTGTGTGTGAGTATGAGTATGTGTGAATATGTGTGAATATGTGTGAGTGTATTGTGTATTGTGTATGTAATGTGAGTGTATTGTGTATGTAATGTGAGTGTATTGTGTATGTAATGTGAGTGTGTGTGAGTGAGTGTGTGCGTGTATTTTGTAAGGTGTCTGACTTTGCCCCCTGTGTGCAGAAAGAAAAGTGTAACAAGAAGAGAGGCGTTGCGTCAGTGTGTAAAACGAGACAAAAACCTCAAAAACATTTTCAAGAGGTGAGAAAGTACAGCATATCCAGTCTTCCAGTGAGAATCCAAATTTCAGAGCCGATGTTTCTTTTGTCTGGGATAACACGTCTGGGATGAAATTAATTAAGGGGGGGGGGGGGGTTCACACTGAACCCCCCTCCCTTAATTAAGAGGGGGGTTCACCCCTCTCCCTTAATTTGTGGTATTCTTTCTTTCTGGTTCATTTTCATCGAATTCCATGAAATGTAACCCATAGACACATACATTAATATACTTGTTGATTAATTCTAATGCACGATCTGCGGGATATATAATAATTTCCAAATATATTTGTATGATTTACAGCAGAAATCTCATATAAATTGCAACCTGGACAGCATTATCGGCCGTCAAAATGTCTCTATCTTTGTTGATTGCATGTAATAATTGATTTTAGTTCCGAATCTGTAAAACTAAGGGAACCACAAGCTTGTAATGATGGAGAGTTGTATATGATAATATAGTGATATTATATATAATGTGAGTGTGTAATATATAATAGTATAGTGATATTATATATAATGTGAGTGTGTAATATATAATAATATATTGATATTATATATAATGTGAGTGTGTAATATATAATAATATATTGATATTATTATATATATATAATGTTCTGGTTATGTGGGAGAGAGCGCCAGAAAACACCTTGCTAATAACAGCACACTGCTCTTCATTTCAGACTGATATATAAAGTTGCAAATTAACGACGTTTTCAGTTTGATCAAGGCTTGGGTAGATTTTGGGGGAATAACACACTGTAGTCTGTCATTTCATTATATCATTCAACTCTTCCTCGCAGACTATTGGCGTTGCCCCAGTAGCACAAATTTGCGAAACATGGCTCGGGTTAGATTGAAATTAAACGGGAAATGAGTTAGTGAACATTATTCCCTGATGAAATAAAACTTTGAATCTATAACCGGCAGCAAGTTAGTCTGAAAAGGACAATAATCACCTTAATAAGGCCGGGTTACACTAGTAATAACATATTCTCACAAAATGTTATTAAAGCACTTGACCGAATATATTCAACAATACCTAGGCTCTCACTAATTATACTATGTAATTATGTTACTATCTATATGTGGTTACTAGTGTATGTGGTTATTCTACATTACTTTAACCAGTATTTAATAATGTATCGATAACTAATTTCTCAGGAGCTATAATGGTAACCATGGTAACCATGACAGCCCCGCGCGACCCACATCCGGCTTCTACGAGGATGACAAGTATAGCGAACGCAGCTACGACCGCAACACTGACAGGTACTGAACTACCATAGTTACTATAGTTATCATAGTTCTAAACTAGTGCCATTCTTTCTTAACTAGCAAAACTAGCGCCACTCTTTATGTGTACCCAGTAAGTACTGACTGTTTATAATGTTGTCAGGTCGTACCCTCCAGTCGAAGAGAGACGTAATAATCGAAATCCTCCTCAGCCTGTGAGTTTAAATAATTATTAATTATTATTGTTCATTAATAAATTTTTAATTTTCAATTGTTTGTATTTTACTTCTGAGTTGAAAGACAGTTTACAGTGTAGTGTGCGGAATTTTTCAAGTTATTTTGTAGTATGTGAGACTTGTTTGCGTTCATTTTTATCTCACATTTCTGCTTGCACGTGTAATTTAATTAGGAATATGACACCTCTAGAAAGTTCTCTGACCATGGGACCAAGGAAGCTAATTTGGTCGGCTACGAAAGGTTTTAGTATTAACGGCCTGTTTACCATTAAATTGTTGTGGATAGATCGTAGTGCTAAGAATAACTGGAGACCCGAGACTGCATCATGATTGCCACGAACCAGGAACTATGTACCAATCTGGCCAATTTTATCATGGCGATATTTGTAGCGCGCTGCGACAACTCTGTGATTATTCCCGCGCAAATATTTGCGCGCGCTTTGTCCTGATCACATTGAATTGAAATCGAATATTCTAAGTGATATGGTCTGCTGAATACTTCGCATTGAATAACTTTCAAGTTTCAGCTGCATTATTTTTATTTTGTTCAACCAGAGAGTTGTCAACGAGAGTCAGCATAATCCAGTTATGAGGATTTACAGATCTCGTACTGTTAACCACCTCTCCAAAACCTATAATTTCAGAGGTTTGAGGAGAGAGTTTACACGCCTCCTCCCTCTAAACCGGGGATGGCGTTCCAGATAACTTTTGACGAGCCAAAATCATCCTCACCTCGACATCCTGGTAAATAGCTAGAATTATGTATGGCCCGGCCCCTCTCTTCCTACACCCCTGGTGTGGGCCCCTGCCCCCTCTCTTCCTACACCCCTGGTGTGGGCCCCTGCCCGCTCTCTTCCTACACCCCTGGTGTAGGGCCCCTGCCCCCTCTCTTCCTACACCCCTGGTGTACGGCCCCTGCCCGCTCTCTTCCTACACCCCTGGTGTACGGCCCCTGCCCGCTCTCTTCCTACACCCCTGGTGTGGGCCCCCTCTCTTCCTACACCCCTGGTGTGGGCCCCTGCCCCCTCTCTTCCTACACCCCTGGTGTAGGGCCCCTGCCCCCCTCTCTTCCTACACCCCTGGTGTAGGGCCCCTGCCCCCTCTCTTCCTACACCCTTGGTGTGGGCCCCTGCCTCCTCTCTTCCTACACCCATGGTGTACGGCCCCTGCCCCCTCTCACCCCTGGTGTTGGGGCCGGGGGAACTTATTTACACAAACAATATAGATAGGTAAAATAGGTGGAATTGTGATACAATTAACTCGCAGGAAAGAAAAAGAAAGGGACGCCACCTAAACCAGATAATGAGAATGATAAGAAAAGTAACGTTTCAGTCACCTCTGATAGGAGCAGGAAATCAGTAGACTCGAACAGGTTCGATTATAACTAGTAGGCAAGGGTTACACTAGTATTGGTTATTTTGTAATATTATATTGTTAGGTGGGGGGAGGGGGGGGGGGGGGGGGGTGTCATGAGTATTTTGAGAGTCCCGACGAAAATGCCAAATTCTCATTCCCAAAAATTATTTTTGAGTGTTTTTGAGACAAGTTTGCAGGAGAGGCGAAAAACTCATTCTCAAAAATTTATTTTGAGTATTTTTGGACCACATTGCACTGGTTAGTCCAGTGCACCACACTAAACTAACCACACACACCACATACAAAAATAATTTGGTATATCCCAATTTTTGAGTGGACAATTTTTGAGTGTTCCCGGCGAAAATGGCCAAATTCTCAGATTCAAAAATTCTCAAAAATACTCATGATCCCCCCCCCCCTCTTTGTTAGTCCCTGGATCTAGTTATTTTTAAGCCTAATTATAATTTTTTAGTAATAGACTCAAAATGCACAAAGAAACATCGAAGATTTTCGAAAAAAGGCTGTTTTAATGAATATTAAACTTTCTTTATGTCAGGTCATCAGAGAAACAGTTCGATCGGAGGTCAGATAAAAACTCAGATAGGCATTCAGACAAGGGGTCAGATAAGGGGTCAGATATGAAAATAGATGATATCGAGCTGTCTCTTCCTGATGAGGTAAAAATATAATGATATAATTTTCTTGAGCTATATTAAATGTTGACTTCTGAGAGTATTCTGCCCCTAGGCTACACCTGGCCCTCCACAACCTTTTAACTCAATGTGAGGATTACCATTCCACGAATCACTACTACTACTACTACTACAGTAATAGTAATAGTAATAGTAGTAACTATACTAATCACTACTACTACTACTACTACAGTAATAGTAATAGTAATAGTAGTAACTATAATAATCACTACTACTACTACTACTACTACTACTACAGTAATAGTAATAGTAATAGTAGTAACTATACTAATCACTAATACTACTACTACTACTACAGTAATAGTAATAGTAGTAACTATACTAATCACTACTACTACTGACTTGACTTGACTTAAGGCGGCTTCAGCGTCCGAGTATTGATGCGCTGTCTCCATAAAACTCTATCCGCCATAAGTCCGCCCATTTCTCCAGTGTCGTTGAGACCCGTGTCAGCTCGTAAGCTATCAACATAAGTCATGGCTGGTCTCCCCCTACTCCGCACCCCATGAGTTGGTTCCCAGAGTAGCAAGCGGTTTGCGACTAGTTCTGGTCGCAATTCAGTACTACTACTACAGTAATAGTAATAGTAATAGTAGTAACTATACTAATCACTACTACTACTACTACAGTAATAGTAATAGTAATAGTAGTAACTATACTAATCACTACTACTACTACTACTACAGTAATAGTAATAGAAATAGTAGTAACTATACTAATCACTACTACAGTAATAGTAATAGTAATAGTAGTAACTATACTAATCACTACTACTACTACTACAGTAATAGTAATAGTAATAATAGTAACTATACTAATCACTACTACTACTACTACTACAGTAACAGTAATAGTAATAGTAGTAACTATACTAATCACTACTACTACTACTACTACTACTACAGTAATAGTAATAGTAATAGTAGTAACTATACTAATCACTACGACTACTACTACTACAGTAATAGTAATAGTAATAATAGTAACTATACTAATCACTACTACTACTACTACTACTACAGTAATAGTAATAGTAAAAGTAGTAAATATACTAATCACTACTATTACTACTACTACAGTAATAGTAATAGTAATAATAGTAACTATACTAATCACTACTACTACTACTACTACTACAGTAATAGTAATAGTAATAGTAGTAACTATACTAATCACTACTATTACTACTACTACAGTAATAGTAATAGTAATAGTAGTAACTATACTAATCACTACGACTACTACTACTACAGTAATAGTAATAGTAATAATAGTAACTATACTAATCACTACTACTACTACTACTACTACAGTAATAGTAATAGTAATAGTAGTAACTATACTAATCACTACTACTACTACTACTACAGTGATAGTAGTAACTATACTAATCACTACTACTATGCTCCCACTAATCAGCTGTAATGTGGTTGGTTTCGTTCAGGTTTATAAGCGAAATGTCCATGAGAAGTTCAATCTTACTAATTAAAAGTTCAACTTAAAGTGGAATCGAAAGTGGCTTATAAATTCTCTTCGTTTGATTCCAATGTTTCCAAAATAGTTTGAAATTTTCAGAATCTTTTAAACGTTTCCCTTCTTTTAAGGGTAAGAATTTGTGATAGCTGCAATATAGCTAAACCCTGCTATCAGAGCTATTAGTGTAGCTAAATCCTGCTACCAGAGCTATTAGTGTAGCTAAACCCTGCTACCAGAGCTATTAGTGTAGCTAAACCCTGCTACCAGAGCTATTAGTGTAGCTAAACCCTGCTACCAGAGCAGTTAGTGTAGCTAAATCCTGCTACCAGAGCTATTAGTGTAGCTAAACCCTGCTACCAGAGCTATTAGTGTAGCTAAACCCTGCTACCAGAGCTATTAGTGTAGCTAAACCCTGCTACCAGAGCAATTAGTGTAGCTAAACCCTGCTACCAGAGCGATTAGTATAGCTAAATCCTGCTACCAGAGCAATTAGTGTAGCTAAACCCTGCTACCAGAGCTATTAGTGTAGCTAAACCCTGCTACCAGAGCAATTAGTGTAGCTAAACCCTGCTACCAGAGCAATTAGTGTAGCTAAATCCTGCTACCAGAGCGATTAGTATAGCTAAATCCTGCTACCAGAGCTATTAGTATAGCTAAATCCTGCTACCAGAGCTATTAGTGTAGCTAAACCCTGCTACCAGAGCTATTAGTGTAGCTAAACCCTGCTACCAGAGCAATTAGTGTAGCTAAACCCTGCTACCAGAGCTATTAGTGTAGCTAAACCCTGCTATCAGAGCTATTAGTGTAGCTAAACCCTGCTACCAGAGCTATTAGTATAGCTAAACCCTGCTACCAGAGCAATTAGTGTAGCTAAACCCTGCTACCAGAGCTATTAGTGTAGCTAAACCCTGCTACCAGAGCGATAAGTGTAGCTAAACCCTGCTACCAGAGCGATTAGTGTAGCTAAACCCTGCTACCAGAGCGATTAGTGTAGCTAAACCCTGCTACCAGAGCAATTAGTGTAGCTAAACCCTGCTACCAGAGCGATTAGTATAGCTAAATCCTGCTACCAGAGCTATTAGTGTAGCTAAACCCTGCTATCAGAGCTATTAGTGTAGCTAAACCCTGCTACCAGAGCTATTAGTGTAGCTAAACCCTGCTACCAGAGCTATTAGTGTAGCTAAACCCTGCTACCAGAGCGATTAGTGTAGCTAAACCCTGCTACCAGAGCAATTAGTGTAGCTAAACCCTGCTACCAGAGCAATTAGTGTAGCTAAACCCTGCTACCAAAGCGATTAGTGTAGCTAAACCCTGCTACCAGAGCGATTAGTGTAGCTAAACCCTGCTATCAGAGCTATTAGTGTAGCTAAACCCTGCTATCAGAGCTATTAGTGTAGCTAAACCCTGCTATCAGAGCTATTAGTGTAGCTAAACCCTGCTACCAGAGCTATTAGTGTAGCTAAACCCTCAAACCCTGCTATCAGAGCTATTAGTGTAGCTTAACCCTGCTATCAGAGCTATTAGTGTAGCTAAACCCTGCTACCAGAGCGATTAGTGTAGCTAAACCCTGCTACCAGAGCGATTAGTGTAGCTAAACCCTGCTACCAGAGCGATTAGTGTAGTTAAACCCTGCTACCAGAGCGATTAGTGTAGCTAAACCCTGCTACCAGAGCGATTAGTGTAGCTAAACCCTGCTACCAGAGCGATTAGTGTAGCTAAACCCTGCTACCAGAGCGATTAGTGTAGCTAAACCCTGCTATCAGAGCTATTAGTGTAGCTAAACCCTGCTACCAGAGCTATTAGTGTAGCTAAACCCTGCTACCAGAGCGATTAGTGTAGCTAAACCCTGCTACCAGAGCGATTAGTGTAGCTAAACCCTGCTACCAGAGCGATTAGTGTAGCTAAACCCTGCTACCAGAGCGATTAGTGTAGCTAAACCCTGCTACCAGAGCAATTAGTGTAGCTAAACCCTGCTACCAGAGCGATTAGTGTAGTTAAACCCTGCTACCAGAGCGATTAGTGTAGTTAAACCCTGCTACCAGAGCGATTAGTGTAGCTAAACCCTGCTACCAGAGCGATTAGTGTAGCTAAACCCTGCTACCAGAGCAATTAGTGTAGCTAAACCCTGCTACCAGAGCGATTAGTATAGTTAAATCCTGCTACCAGAGCTATTAGTGTAGCTAAACCCTGCTACCAGAGCGATTAGTGTAGCTAAACCCTGCTACCAGAGCGATTAGTGTAGCTAAACCCTGCTACCAGAGCTATTAGTGTAGTTAAACCCTGCTACCAGAGCGATTAGTGTAGCTAAACCCTGCTACCAGAGCGATTAGTGTAGCTAAACCCTGCTACCAGAGCGATTAGTGTAGCTAAACCCTGCTACCAGAGCGATTAGTGTAGCTAAACCCTGCTACCAGAGCTATTAGTGTAGCTAAACCCTGCTACCAGAGCAATTAGTGTAGCTAAACCCTGCTACCAGAGCAATTAGTGTAGCTAAACCCTGCTACCAGAGCGATTAGTGTAGCTAAACCCTGCTATCAGAGCGATTAGTGTAGCTAAACCCTGCTACCAGAGCAATTAGTGTAGCTAAACCCTGCTACCAGAGCAATTAGTGTAGCTAAACCCTGCTACCAGAGCGATTAGTGTAGCTAAACCCTGCTACCAGAGCGATTAGTGTAGCTAAACCCTGCTACCAGAGCGATTAGTGTAGCTAAACCCTGCTACCAGAGCAATTAGTGTAGCTAAACCCTGCTACCAGAGCAATTAGTGTAGCTAAACCCTGCTATCAGAGCGATTAGTGTAGCTAAACCCTGCTACCAGAGCGATTAGTGTAGCTAAACCCTGCTATCAGAGCAATTAGTGTAGCTAAACCCTGCTACCAGAGCAATTAGTGTAGCTAAACCCTGCTACCAGAGCGATTAGTTAGCTGTTAGCCTATGTAACTATGGTAACAAGTGTTGTAACTATGGTAACGATTAGTTAGCTGTTAGCCTGAACTAATACTGTTTATATGTTAACTTACACATTAGCTCTTAACTGTGCACCTCACTTTTTCAGCTGTGATTAATACTCTCAACGTAAGATAAATACGCTATCAATACGCTATCAATACGCTATTGCTCTATTGATTATCATTTATTTACTAATAACTATGTTTCAGCCTTCTAATGAGGAGGTGGCATGCAGGAGCGACGAAGAAGTGTCCGTATCTTCGTAAGTGGAACTCACTTATTTACTTTACATTAGTTTATTTACTTTACATTAGTTCATATTTGAATGATAAAATATCAGGACGAATAAGGGAAACGAAAGGATTGAAAATAAAAAGGGAAAATATGAAATGTTAAAATTTTCAGGGGGAGTCTGCCCGATGTGCACATGGAAGATCCTGCCATAAAAAAGGTGAGAGTTAAAATTCGTATCGTTAATTCTGAATAAGCATTTTTATATAAATATAATTACATAAGAATGGTAATTAGGTAATTTGGCAGGGAACTCAAGAGTCAAGATTAAGCACGGGTTACACTAGTAATTACATAGAATGAACACTAAGCTAACTCATTGTTCAGGAACTGACAAAGTGGGCGAACTCAATGTTAAAAACTAAAGACTACGTGCCTGTCTTTTCTATACACGACTCAATGAAAGACGGCAGAACACTGGCCCAACTGCTTCATAGTATAGGTAATTAATTAATTAATTAATTATTATGGTTCAGTCGAATTATTTACTTTTCCATCTTATTAAACACAATATGATCGTTAAGAAAGTTGAAAATTCTTTCTCAACAACATTGTTTCTATGGTAACCATCTGTAATAGCATTTGTTAGGTGCTTTGTGTATTAACAATCTGTTTTCGCTCTTTTGAGTGGGTCGATCATATAATTGATGTTTTGGGACAAAGTGAGAGTCTCCACTCCGTTTTTCAAACGTATAGTTTTCAACTATTATCAACTATTTGTTTGAAAAACTGAGTGGAGACTCTCACTTTGTCCCAAAACATCAAGTGTATTAATTGTTTGTTCACATTCAATAATTGCAACAGAAATATTTCATTGTTAACGTACGTAAATTTCAGCCGATGAACGTGTGTCAGACTTGAACAAAGACCCTAAACTTAGGGTAGAAATTCTACCAAACATCGACAAATGTTTAGCCTTCTCAAAGGTAACTAGTAGTGTAACTGTGGTAACTAGTAGTGTAACTATGGTAACTAGTGTTTAGCCTTCTCAAAGGTGCGACTATTTTTAGGGTTTACTTTTGGCAGATTGTTTCAAGTAGTATGTGATATTATTTATATATTATACCTTATATAATACAAGGTGGAATTTGGAGCATCTGATTTTGGTTTAGTTTTAATTAAACTCGGAGTTTCTTTAGTTAAGTAAAGGAAATGAAAAACAAGTCACAAAGGAGATTATCATTTTCTCACATTTCAGCAACGAGACTTCTTGTCTGGTCAAACAATCCTCGTAGGGAAAGTAAATTTTTAGTGTGTCAAAATTAGTGTAACTATGGTAACTAGTAGTGTCAAAACGTTCCATTATTATACAATTATTGTACATTCATGTTCATTGTCCAAGATCAGTAAAACAACACTTGATTAATTCATGTACAGAGTATTAACAAAGTTATAAAAATTGTGTATGGTAAATGCGATCATACAGTTGTCCATGTAGAAACCTCGGTTAACATGACCTCACACTTCAAGCAGAGGGGTGAATAGTTACTCATGTTATCAAGCGAAATGGAAGTAAAATTTTAATTGTAAGCTTAATTGTTGGTTTACCCTGACTTGTAGTGTAATTATGGTAACTAGTAGTGTAATTATGGTAAGTGGTAACTAGTAGTGTAACTATGGTAACAAGTAGTGTAACTATGGTAACTAGTAGTGTAACTATGGTAACAAGTGTTGGTTTACCCTGACTTGACTTGTCCCCAGCAAAACAACCTGATGGTTGGCGACATTGCATCACGTGATATTGTAAAGGGGAACGAGCTGCAGATAACAATTCTTCTGGAACAACTCCGAGCCGCGCACAAGAGGAAATTAGAGGTTCGTTATCTGGACTGTGTTAAACTGGAGTAGAACTTAGAAGCTTTAAACGATGGAAATCATTTATACTATTCATTAATGAGTTGACCAATTAATAAGTTAAATGATTTCTCAGCTTATAAGTTAGCTATTGAAAATCTTGGACCTCAAAAAATCGTTATGATCAATCTCTTCTAAATGGTCCCTAGAACATATCCTGAAAGTTTCAGGGTGATTGCTCAAAAAATGTGGGAGAAGATAGATTTTTAGACTCGATTTTCAGAATTTGTGATTGAAAATCGCTCGCGCAATACAATTACACATAAGCGCTGCCCTTAGACCAGCGATAATTTCGGCCAGGAACAATATTTTTCCATGGGACCAAAAGCAGCTGATAGATATCACTCCCTTTTATCAGAAACAACTAAAAAGTCAATTTCGAGAGAATTTTGATGAAGACCCTCACCCCCGGCCCCTTAATTAGTTAATTATTTAATACCTTAATTAGTTAAATATTTAATACCTTAATTAGTTAATTATTTAATACCTTAATTAGTTAATTATTTAATACCTTAATTAGTTAATTGACCTGATCCTCAGAGTGGTGAAATGACCGAAGTAAGCAGTTATCAGGTGTTGTGTTGTTTTAATGTCATGTGATAATGTCTATACTCTACTGCAGTCGTATTATTAAACAGCGCATGTGTAAAACTGTAAACTATTAACGTATTCTACAAGATTCGGGACTTCCTCACCATTACATACATACAATATACATGTTACCATGGTAACCTTACCATTAGCCGACGTGAATTCAAGACGTTTTGTCGGTGATTTCCAATGTAATCTCCATATTTTCTGTCTTGTATCATGAATCATGATATTTATCAAACCATTTGGTTCGTTGTTACTTGAATTTCACATCAACACATTTGCATTTGTTTAATTATTTTTAATCGCCTTTGAATAATATAAACTGTCATTCATAAGTAAACATAATTAACTAGGATATTTTCAGCGACCGGCTGTACCTAAACCAGATGAAAGTAAAGGTAAATCCTTATTTCCTTGTTTATAAAACTTATTTCAGTCAGTATTTTAATCGTATTTTAAATACTTAAGATTTCAATATTATATGTATCATTTTAGCACATGTATTTGTCTGACAATATATCCTTCTCACAGATCCACTACATACACCAAACCTGGCGAGTGCGTCTAATCACACCTTGTCTAGTCACACCTTGTCTAATCACACCTTGTCTAGTCACACCTTGTCTAATCACATGTCACTAGAGAATAACACAGATAAGCTGGTAACTAGTAGTGTAACTATGGTAACAGATAAGCTGATATTGGGGCACCTAGATTGGAACTTATCACAAACTTGGCTCAAATATCTGGGTAAAGATTCATCATTTTAAATTTGGCATTTCATCAATTTATTAAATAACACATATTTTGTCTTCATTTCCCATAAAGGCTATTTCCCATCATCACTAATTTCCACATACGTCATTCATGGTCCTGAAATCTGAAAAATTGATACTTTTTCAAAATCTCTCACACGTTTGATTTTATCAAGAAAAAGTAAATATTATTAACAAGGAAATATCAGTGTCAGAAGCGGAGTAGTGTAACTATGGTAACTAGTAGTGTAACTATGGTAAATATGATTAACAAGGAAATATCAGTTTCAGAAGCGGAGCTGACGGACGAAGAGGGAGTTCTCCCGTTCAGAAGAAACAAGACAATGGCTGCTCCTCCTCGGTCTAAACGTTCTCAAAATCACACTTCATCTAGGTATAGATAATTAATTATCTTATTAGTTAAATATTTTAGATTACCTCTAATCCTCCTTTATCGATATCAACTAAATTAGACCTCCATTATTTTATATCCACTAAAACCAACTTTCTCGTTCACTTTGTGTACTTCGTTAACTGATGATATATTTTCACTTTAGCTTTGTTAACACACAATACACTTTCTCTTTCAGTTTAGAGACAGGAGATTTTCGCTTTGTTAACACACAATACACTTTCTCTTTCAGTTTAGAGACAGGAGATTTTCGCTTTGTTAACACACAATACACTTTCTCTTTCAGTTTAGAGACAGGAGACTTTCGCTTTGTTAACACACAATACACTTTCTCTTTCAGTTTAGAGACAAGCCTTTCGCTTTGTTAACACACAATACACTTTCTCTTTCAGTTTAGAGACAGGAGACTTTCGCTTTGTTAACACACAATACACTTTCTCTTTCAGTTTAGAGACAGGAGACTTTCGCTTTGTTAACACACAATACACTTTCTCTTTCAGTTTAGAGACAGGAGATTTTCGCTTTGTTAACACGCAATATACTTTCTCTTTCAGTTTAGAGACAGGAGACTTTCGCTTTGACAACACACAATACACTTTCTCTTTCAGTTTAGAGACAGGAGACTTTCGCTTTGATAACACACGATACACTTTCTCTTTCAGTTTAGAGACAGGAGACTTTCGCTTTGACAACACACAATACACTTTCTCTTTCAGTTTAGAGACAGGAGACTTTCGCTTTGATAACACACGATACACTTTCTCTTTCAGTTTAGAGACAGGAGACTTTCGCTTTGTTAACACACACTTTCTCTTTCAGTTTAGAGACAGGAGACAAGCCTACAGATCAGATAGAGCGAATGTTATTACACACATTAAACACTCTCACACAACAGCTGAAGAGTAAAATAGACAAATCTGCAGTATATTCACTGTAAGTAACTATGGTAACTAGTAGTGTAACTATGGTAACTATGATTAACAAATCTGCAGTTTATTCACTGTAAGTTGTTATGTGTTTTAAATACTCACTCTTATTGAATACCCTCACAATGGTCACGTGACGAGTTTCTTCATTTGAGGGTAATATTTTAGATTAGTAGATTTCTATTGAATCCTTACAAACCCTCCTAGACACATAAAGGAAGAGTTAGACTCGCTAGCAGGAAATAACGCCCCGGAAGACTTCGCTCCTAACTCCATGACCGGGCCTCCCCCTCCTGGTTCTGACAACAACGCTATACCTGACTCAGTTAGTTACATCATTATCCTGCCCTCTTTTTTATTGTGCTGCAATTTGTTCAACTTTAATTTATTATAACTTTTTCAAGAAGTACTCCTTCGTTTCCACTCACCGCTATACTATGATAATTCATACGACTGATTTTGATACAAACTTCTATATTTTGACTTTTACTTAAATTTTTTAAAGGAAAGCTCATTGACTGACTTGGTAACTGAAAAACTGACTGAGAATACTAAATCTGAGTTGATAGCTGAGGGACTGACAGATACTGACCAACTGACTGACCGTAAAACTGAGCAAATAATCCTACATTTTGCGGAAGTATTGTGTCCAGGAGTATGTTCTCCAGACGATACAGACAGATCCATATCCCCCTACATGAGGCAATCTCCCTCGTTAAACTTAACACGTGACGTCACCACACCACGTGACGTCACCACACCACGTGACGTCATCACACCACGTGACGTCACCACACCACGTGACGTCACCACACCCCCTGTCTCGTCTCCAAACCCCGACATTCTCCCCAAGTACAGGACTCTTCCTCCTCGCCTGCGCAGTCCAGGAGTAAAGAAACGTGAGATGAAGATAAAGATAACGAGGAGAGTGAACAAGAGAGAGCCCACAAACTCCCTGCCCCGCTCAGTCAAACTGACGGAGTTTGCGGACCAGAATCCGGAGGTGATGGACAAACTCCGGGACATGGCATTCCCGGAAATGATCATGGAGCACACAAACGTGACAGTTAGACCTAGAAAGAGGAAATCCCGGTCTAAACGGGGGAAGACGGCTCCCAGAGACCGGAGGAATAATGCTCCGGTCAGTCACGTGACCATGGTAACGGTCAGTCCACATGTTATAGAACCAGGATCTCTTGAGAAGGGGAGAGTTAGTGATTCTACTTTGGAGGCGGACAGTATACCATATCTCCATCATGATGAGGTAGAGTTACTCTCTCCTTCTTCTCTCACGCACGTCACCCCTCCTCCCTGTCACGTGACGTCACCAGGACAAGTGACGTCACCAGGATTTCTGCTCAACAAATACTACGAAATATTTGGAACCGAACTCCCGGCCAACTCCTCAGACAGTTGCCTGGAATACAAGGCCGGTATCTGTGATAAAAAGACACGTGACGTCACACCACGTGACGTCACATCGCCATGTGACGTCACTAGAGACAAGTGTTCACGTAAGAGCAAACTGACTGAGCAGTATATAGATGAGTTGGGGGGTTCTGTTAGCTGCGATCAGTGGATAAGTTGGGTCCTGTGTACTCACTACGATCTGGAGTGGGGAGCCGTGCAGGGACTGGCTCACCAGCTCCTTACAATTAATCCTAAATTTGCTGAGGTGAAAAACTAGAGTTCCTAATTCACTTATTGACTGATTGACTAAGATTAGTTACTTCTACTTGACTAACGATTCACTAAATTAGTTCTTTATAATTACTTAATGTAATGATACTTTATATTTTACATCTTTATTTCTTCCTAGGAAATAACTGAAGCTCTGAAGAATTTGCGGTTCTTAGAAAGGAAACTGACGGAAATAGAAGAAAACTTAGTTCACGTTAGGAACGAGACCATACCTACGGTAAGAAAATTCTAGATTTTTTAATCAATAAATTAGTCAATTAGATAATAGTTCCAATTAAAAGTATTATTTTTATGTATACTTTACCTCTCTCTTTACTTTTTCAATTAACTAACTAATGGTTTTCCCAGCTGGCGAAAAAAGGGATGGAGAAACCTAAGAAGAAAAAGAAAGGTAAATAAAATTATTTATAATAATGTGTTAAATATCTGTATAGTCTAAAGGCGTGATTAAAATAGCTTCAAACTTTCTTGAAAAGGTTCAAACGTGTTAAATTGGATCTCTGAAAGAAACTTTTAGCAAAAAAGATATGAAACAAAATCCTGCAAAGATAAAATCCATCAAGTTTTTGAAACAATTTTCTCACTCGTATGGTGGCTGATAAATTAGCTTTTAAACGCTGACCCGTAACAAATGTTGCTGACAAACTCTGTTTAATTAGTTTACAAAGTGTGCTGTGATTCCTTATGTAACCTAGTAACTCAAGTAACTATTTCATGACTAGTAATGCAGTGACTACTTGGTGACTAATAATGTAGTAACTATTTCATGACTAGAAATGCAGTGACTACTTGGTGACTAATAATGTAGTAACTATTTCATGACTAGAAATGTAGTGACTACTTGGTGACTAATAATGTAGTGACTATTTCATGACTAGTAATGCAGTGACTACTTGGTGACTAATAATGTAGTAACTATTTCATGACTAGAAATGTAGTGACTACTTGGTGACTAATAATGTAGTGACTATTTCATGACTAGTAATGCAGTGACTACTTGGTGACTAATAATGTAGTGACTATTTCATGACTAGTAATGCAGTGACTACTTGGTGACTAATAATGTAGTGACTATTTCATGACTAGAAATGTAGTGATTACTTGATGACTAGTAATATAGTGACTACTTCATGATTTTTAATGTAGTGACTATTTCGTGATTTTAAATCAAAATGTCCGACTAAGAGCTGCAACCCAAAAGTAAACAAATTATTTATTTTCGGTTAAAAATAAATAACATACTTAAATATAAATAACATACTTAGCTATAAGTAACATACTTAGCTATAAATAACATACTTAGCTATAAATAACATACTTAGCTATAAATAACATACTTAGCTATAAGTGGAATGATAATCATGGATAATGATAAAATTACTTTGATTTAATTGTTAAGCGGGTCTTTATTTGCACCAACGATTCATTGTATCGATAACGAACGTGACATCACGTTATGTGTAACATGACGTCACGTTATGTGTAACGCGTGATAACGTCGTGAGACTGTGTTTGATTTAAGAAAAGTTTCATTGCTTCTGAAGTAGCTATCAGTTCGCCGGTCATTGTTGGGTATAATACTCAAATGTTTTATTGTGTTCATTTTAGGTGCACTATAACGCAGTACTACTACAGTGTACAGGGGTAGGTGAGGTGTGAGATAGGCATGTGTATTTATTAAATAGTATCAGTTATACTATTAAGTAAATAGTATTTATTATACTACTTAATTGATAGTATTATTTATGCTATTTATACACATTTAATGAGCACGATTCTATTGAATAGATTATTTAATGCTTGCACTGCACAACAAATTAGTGATTACTTCCCTAGTTTCAAAATTTTATTACTGATATGTCGATTAACAAATTAATTAATTGAAATTAACATTTGATTAATCAAATATTTGAAATAAAGTGACTTAATCTGATTGTTTAGTTCCTAGGGAAGCTGAGAGTTCGGTTTAACCTCCCACTTAAAGCTTTTGTCAGTCCCTTGTAAAGGTAGAACCTTAGTGAGAGTATCCGTTATGTTTATTTTGGGTACTGTCATTTTTTATCTTGTAATTTTCTTACCATGTGATTTTCGTAAATTATAAACTCCTGTTTTATTTGGGTCGTGAAGCTTTGTCGTGTTTAATTTATGTTTAATTTATACCGTTCCTTGCACGAGACCTTATACTGTAAAATAAAATATACGGTAAATATATTAGTTATAATATAAAAAGTTTTGTGTGATTACTTGCACGTGATGTTAAATCAATATTCTGCTGAGATTCATTCTGAAAATCTATCAAAGTTTCTTTATCTAATACTATATTAATACTGTTATATGATACTATCTTACTATCTTAATACTGTTGCAACGCTCCAATACACCCACTTTACTTCCATTAAAACAAGTTGTCTTTCCTAACAAGCTGTGATGCTCTAAACACTAAAATCTTTCCTAATCTTACTAAGTTTGGGTTTAGATTAGTCATTAATATGATCATTTTTATTGAAGCACTCTCGAGACATCTTTTTAACCTTTATACCTTTATTATAACGATTACATGTAATTTAAATGTTTGTTAAAAGCATTGTATTTCCAAAGCACTGTAGACCCTGGTCATTAGGAAATGTTTCTAATGACCAGGGTCTGTAACCGGTTTTCACTAGGTCATTAGCTACTGCATAGCAATGATATAGGGGTGTCGATAATGGAACGCAGTTTTAAATCATAAGGGTGCCGATCATAGAGTGAAATTTAAAATAATCATTTAAATCACACGTACTGAAGTACTGAAGTACTGATTACTCACACGTACTGATTTACGTGACTCAGTAAAGAGGCTCATAAATACAGCTCCTTCATAAATACAGCTCTAATATCTCCCACGTAGTTTCAACAATTAAAATATCATTTTCTCAATATAACCCGACAACATATTCTTATGTTTGGCCTTTAATTTACAATTGATCAAACAACAAAAGCTATTGTGAGCGCTAATCGGCTAATGATTCATCCCGCTTTGCTATAATGTAGTATTATAATGTAGTATAGCATGATTTGTTAGAAAGATCTAGTCAAAAAGCCGATCAACATTAAGTTGAGAAATCATTGCATTCATTACCGCTGAATTCTAGCAAAGCATTTTATTCGCGATGAACGTGCAAACCTAACATGCGACATATTGCACGTGCAAACCTAACATGCGACATATTGCACGTGCAAACCTAACATGCGACATTTTGCACGTGCAAACCTAACATGCGACATATTGCACGTGCAAACCTAACATGCGCCACGTGTTTTATGCGCTGCTTGTAAGTTGTACAGTGTACACTGTTGAAGGTGCAATGTGTGCTGTATGTAGATTGTAGAAACTGTTGCACGTGTATAACACGTGTATAACACGTGTATAACACGTGATAAGACGTGTATAACGACACCCCTATATCTTGCAGGGGCAGGAAGCGTATTGGGGTGCCTTACTCCGCGGAATCCCACGCCGGTAGATGACTGAGAGATTACGTGACTGTTAAATCACGCGTTACACATAACGTGACGTCACGTTCGTAGACAGAGAGTTCACGTGACGTAACAGAATAATCAGAACATGGGGTTAGGGGCTGGGAAGTCTTTAGTCAAACTGTCTTACTTGAACTGATGTGGTTGTGTTTATTGCATGTGTGTGGGTATGTAACTGTAACATTGTACTATGTATATACTATATAGTATTAGTAATTATGTTAGATTTGTTGTTGTTTGTTGGAATGGAGGGTTAACTGAACAAGTGGAGACTTACTTAATCAGTTACGGGTAATTAGGTGTAATTACGGGTAATTAGGTGTAATTATGTGTAATTACAGGTAATTAGGTGTAATTAACACTGGAAATACTACATATATAATACTAGTACTACTTATCATCTCCACTGCTAGTTAATTAACCCTTGATTCTGGAAATGACATGGAACTGTTTTTAGTCGCGGGTTAAGTTTAATGTATTGAATTTTGTTGTGATAAGATAATTTAACATGTAGATAATTGTAATTTCAATATTTCATGTTCTTGTTCACGAACCTAAAAACTGGTTTGCCGGGCCTGCCCCGGAACTTTAACACACGTTGACAATTTATTAATTTAGTTGCTCGCAGTTTCGTTAAAGTCAGGTTGTTAAGTAACACTAGCAGATTCGTTAAAGTCAGGTTGTTAAGCAACACTAGCTGTCACGTCTCTCAAAAAGTTGTTTTGAATTAGTGCGCTTACTATTTAATTGTGCGAATAATTTTATTTTTGAAGATATAATTGAAAAAGTTCTTTTTGTTGATTACACCTGAATAAATACTTAAGGGATGCTATGATGTTTTTAATTTTTCAATCGGATGATTTTTGTTTTTGGATTGGATGTGAGATGAATAGTGAAAATAGTGACTATGGTAACTAGTAGTGTAACTATGGTAACTATTGGATGTGAGATGAATAGTGACAATAGTGACTTGTTTATCCGATATTGTGGAGCTTTGAAATAGAAGTTAGCATTTGTAAACTTATATTTAATTCTAAGTGAAATTTGCCTTTTGATTTTTGTACGTCGCTGTATGCTAAGATGTTGATACTTCATCAAGATCATTTCATGGCCTCATTTTTTTACTCGTTAATCAGTGAAGCATATTTTTGATTTTCCAACTTTCGTCGTTTGGGAGAATCTAAATAGGACATGTACAAAGAGATAATAAGTGTTTAACGAAATATTTCACCTTCAATTGCGTTCACACTAATTTTTATTTCATAATGATTAGAATATTTTTATTGGAGGGCTTCAGTACACGTCCGCCGGGTGGAGAGCAATCTCTATAAAAAACTGTGGGAAACATTTTGAGTTAAGCAATTATTTTGATGTTGAAAATTTGCTGGATGATGACTTACTGACTTAAGTCGGCTTCTTGGTCCGAGCAACTACAATTCCTCGCCACACGTCGCGGTCAAGCATAACAGATCTTATCTCTTCAACACAGGAAAGGCTGGTGTCCTTCTTTAGCATGTCCAGAAACGTAAGGTGGGGCCTCCCCGGTCTCCTGTATCCATGCTGAGGGTCCCAGAACAGAAGTTGGTTTGCCAGAAGGTCGTCATGCCTGGCTACATGTCCAGCCAGTCTCATTCTTCTGGAGGCTATCATCGCTGATGGCTTGGGGATGTTGCCGTATAAATCACTGTTGTTGATGATTTGTGGCCAACGTATGTTCAAGGCCATCCGGAGCATTCTAGTGTAGCATCCATTGCTGGATGATACAGTAGTAGTAGTACAGACAATTTGCACTTATGAGAGTGTATTCCTTAATGATGAGCATAGAAATAAAGTGGCTTAAAAACTTAATCAGTGTTTTAGCCGAGGAAAAGTGTTAAGAAAAAAAAGAAGATTTTTCCTGTTTTTATGTAGTTTTTACAGACAATACAGTGCTTCTATCTCAACAAACTTGATTGAAGATAATGTGTAATTCTAATAATGCAGCCGAAGTTTTTATTTATTTTATGAATTACGACTATTTTATTTGTCCACTAAGTTACACTGTAAAGTAACCTGAGGTAAGAATAATAAAAGAAAACACGCGATTCGTTATTATACACGGGACCATTATCACAGCTCAATAAGTATTCCGAGCTTAAACTATAATTTCTTATACAGTGGTTTTCAAGAAACTCAATCATCACTTACTGATAATCTATATAAGTATTTGAACTGTAAATGATGGAGACATTAGACAATTATTCAATTACTTTGATTAGTAAAAATGATTGTTTTTAGAAAAAGACAGGGAGAGTAACCGTGAGTATTGCGTGTTGACCTCCGATTGTTTTCCATTTACCAATTTCATAAATTCTCTTGATTTTATCTTTAATCAAGTTCTTGCTGTTTCTAAAACGCATTTCAGATTTTATGCTATAGCTTGTGCGATTTATGTCATTTTCACGAAAATTTCATTAACTTGCTTTTTAGAGACTAAAATTCTTTAGACTTCAAGTCTCTTCAGAAGATGATAGCATACTTAGCCTAGATTGCTATGTTTGCCTCCTGATTACATTCTATGAATCTTATCTAGCATACTTTAATCAGTAGTGCAATCGAGGAAAATATACTAGGATTTTATTTTTAAATATATTAGTAAAAAATAAAGTCCTCGTCTATAATAATATATGTTCTCATTTCTCAATTGTACTACTGAATGCAGTAGCACTAGTAATGTTCAATGATTCAAGATTTCATACAAATCAGTATTTTCACAGAGTAATCCTCTTATTGTTAGTGTGCACAATGTGTCTTTATTATTCTATTATTTATTCTTGTAAATTAATTATAATTCTTTACCCCAGGTCTGAGTGGTATGTTTAGGAGTAAGGACTCTAGCAGTAAAGACTCCCTTTCTAATCTGAAGAGCGCTAACTCAGTAGCGAGCATTAACAGCATTAACAGCCTGTCAGACAGTGGACTAGCTTCAGTTGGGGGCGGTCCCCCCGGCTCTGTGACTAACGAGAAGGCAAATATAGTCACGTGAAGGTGAGGGTCTTAGTGTTATCCACCATTATATGTTAACAATTAACATATCCTTATCATACTCAGTACCTAATATCTGTGACTTAACCTTATCAATTATCATACTGGGATGGTCTGATTTTCTATAAGTATAGTTATTTGTTTTTTCAGTTTCATGAAAGTAGTCATTTCTAATTTATAGTTTATTGGCATATTATTTAGTTGATTGGCTGTTTAATAAATTTAAACAACCTAGTTTCTGAATTATAACTTATTTTCAGATTTGGGAAAAAAGAAATCAGAAGGAGTAATTCTCTACAGAACGTGAGAGCCAGTAAATACAAACCGCTCCTAGTCCCACTTAATCTAGAAGCAGGGCATAGTCCTGCTGCTAACTGCTGCTAACTGCTACTAGTTACACTAGTACTCATCTTTATCAGTTTCACGGAGTGCGCGGCTCAAATATCGTGCGTATATTGGAGTGTGCGGCTCAAATATCGTGCGTATATTGCACGTGTCTCGCAAAACTAAGTTAAACTACACCACTTATGCTGACTACTGTAAACTTTAATAGAACTATTAGATATTAGTAGTTTTTAGTGACGCATGATTATCTTGTTAATGAGTATACAGACTTGATATTGTCAATTAATCATCATAATCATATTATGTGCAATGTGTCAATCAAACTTGTTGTCGATTTACAATTCACAAATCTCATATCTTGAGGTTTGAAATCTTCACATTTATGATTTAAGTTTTTAATCGTGTTAAATAGTTAACTTTTTCTTATATTATGACAAAATGATAAATGGAGATTGTTGCATGTTGAATAACTATGGTAACTAGTAGTGTAACTATGGTAACTAGTAGTGTAACTATGGTAACTAGTAGGAATATACTGAATATATATATATAGTATTGAACAATACTGACTCTCTAAGACAATATTGGTTTCATTTTGACTATTTTCTTATTTTTGACAGCTGGTATGTGTTACACAGATATAATTGCCACATTGGTGGGAACCTCCATGATTTTCAAATTTCTTGGCTAAATGTTGAGATAATAACCGATGTAGATTTTGTCATACGTTGTATGACCCGCCTGTAGCGTCGAAGACGCTACTATAGTGAAGCGACCGTGGGGGTCACCACGTGATACAATGTGGATTGTAGGCAGCATTATCTCAATATTTAGTCAATATCTTCAGACTCGTAATCGTGTTGTTATTATTGTTCGGTTTTTGTTGTTCAGTAAATACTGTAGTACATTTTTGATCATTGTTCTTGGAAATCTTCTCTACTAATTATACATTGTAGTTATAACTTATAACTTATAACTTATAACTATTACTGCTGAAAGTCGATCGTTATTATTATATTTTACTGGGCGGCGCTCAGCCTGTCATTCCGCCTAATCTCTATTCATATATGTTTATGAACATGATAGCCTGAGGTCCCCAGGTAAATTATATTGAGAATTTAGTATCTGATATCGTATACCCAGGAAACCTTACTGATAGGGAGGAAGTGAAAAGAAATAGAAAGGTTTTCAACAAAATGTTCGTTTCGTGAAACTAAAGTTACCTCCCCAGGAGGAAAATTAGGGACATTATAGATTTTGAATTATCGCGAAAAGTCTTATTTTGGGCCTTATAAATTGCGCAGTTTTAACTTTGCGAATTCTTGTTCTCTGATTGGCTGAATTGTATCACGTGGTACGTGGTGAAATTGCATTATTGGAATGTTGGAAGCGTGCAAATGCAATGAACTTATGAGCGCGCGCGGAGCTCAACAAGCAGTGAAAACGCAATTTCATCTGTAGTAATATCGCCAGCCAGTAAGGTTTGCTGGGTTAACATATTATTATGTAATAAACTTTTTTTAAAATTGTATTGCTATAAGGGGTTTATACTGGGCGGCGCTCAGCCTGTCATTCCGCCTAATCTCTATTCTATATGTTTATGAACATAATAGCCTGGGGTCCCCAGCTAGGTAAGATTAGATAGCCTGAGGTCCCGGCCCCAGCTAGGTAATATTAGTTCACATATCAATCGACTACAACTAAGGTCGGGGTGGTTGGGGTTTCTAAATGATTACGATAATTTTGACACAATACTATTACTATAGTGTTTGTATCGTAATCGTATTTGGATCATGATCTGTTAAAGCATAGCTCTATTATTTGTAGCGCGATGCACTACTTGGCCGCGCCGCGCATATTCTGTAGATCGGCGAGATGCCGCGAAGGATTGACATCGTGAATCAAGGCTTTTATATCATTTTAACATTAACTTTGCATAGTGATGATACGTTTGTCGTTTATTGTGCCTCTTGTGATTATCTATTTCTCCAGTGTTACGTTACCCCGACGCTCCTTGTATCACGTGGTGACCCCCTCTTGCCTCTGTCGCTTCACCCCTGTAGAGTTTCTACGATCTGAGATGGGGGGGGGGGGGGGGGGGGGGTTGATGGCGAGTTATGCTTTGTCAAAGTGGATGCTTTTAAAAATGAAATATAAAATGAATAACGACCCAATCATAAGGTAAAAAGTATAGGCTGTATTTTAAGGGCTAATCTCAGTCCATCTAAGTCGTAAGTTTGGAGGAATAATACGGCTAATTTTGCGATTCTTTAAAGTCTTGAACCAAAATACCCTGCTGCGCCGTCAACTGGGCCCAGGAAACCTTACCTGAGGACCCCAGGCTATTATGTTCATTAACATAATATAGATTTGGCGGAATGACAGGCTGAGCGCGGCCCAGTAAAGGAAACCTTACTGGCTGGAGCCTAACTTTGAAAGTAAAAGAGATAGCGTCTTCCGGTTTTTTGCAAAATGTTCGTTTCGCAAAAATAACGTTTCCCCCCCAGGGGGAAAATTGAAAACAACGTAGATTTTGAATTATCGCGAAAAGTCATATTTTAGGCCTTATAAATTGCGCAGTTTTAACTTTGCGAATTCTTGTTCTCTGATTGGCTGAATCGTATCACGTGGTACGCGGTATTTCTTGGAATATTGCATTCTTGGAATATTTGAAGCGTGCAAATGCAATGAACTAGCGAGCGCGCGCGGAGTTCAACATGCTGTGAAAAGGCGATCACCCTGTAGTAATATCGCTAGCCAGTAAGGATTGCTGGGTATGAGATAGCCGAAAAGCTGCAAAGGGGGGGGGGGGGGGGGGGGGGGGGGGGGGGGGGGGGGGGGGGGGGGGGGGGGGGGTAGAGAGACACAGTGAAACCAGCCACCGCGGGGAGGAGCAACCAGGAGATGTAGTTAGTTAACCAGGCAAAGTAGAGGGCCACATTGGACCCGAAGTAGTGTTCCACGAGATCACAGAACGACCCTTCAAGGGGACCAGCGTGCCAGGAAGCTGTGCACTCTTCTGAGCTGGAGTGGAGGGGCCAGAACTGTACCATTTCTACCCGCTCTAATGCTAGAATAAGAGGGTCGCTCTTCAGTAGTCCACACTTGGGCCTCGGGAAGAAGTCAGGGAGGGTTTTCATTTTGATTCGCTTCAGAACCTCGCTGGTTATGTAAGATAGTTCGGATGGTTTGAAGATTGATTGGGTGGATGTTTTGTTAGTGTAGGGTGGCTGGTATTGTTTGTGCTTTCCACTCAGATACTCACGTTTGAACCCCTTTAAATCCCGTTTTAGAAACCCCCAACCTTCTGCTTCCTTCGTTATCAGCTCTTCTGGGGCTGTGACAACAAATGCTGAATAATTTGCATTTTCTGGATGGTCATGACATGACATGTTCAGTCCGTTATCTTGGATTCTTCCTTTCACAAAATCCAAAAGGTTTTGATCTTTTGTCTTTAAGATAACAACATAGTCACCCATTTTGCGTTAAAAGAGTTGCTAACACCTGCGGTATGACGTTAATCAATTTATCAATTAATTAATTACATTAATCAGTTACATATTATTATGGTACACTTACAGATGCGGATTCTGCTGGGGGGGGGGGGGGGGGGGTGGGGGGGGGTGAGGCACAATTTTT